CTTGTTGCGCCCTTTCAATCACGTATGATTCTTGACATCTGTCATGAAAATAGAAGAAGATATAAATCAATTTTTATTTATGTAGACCCTGCATATAGTTGTCCATATCAATTAAAAACAGTACCTTGATTCTTTACTATATTTAGTGGCCAAACTCAATTTTTAAATTCATTTATTAATCAACTCATCAAAATGAACTAAATTTACGAAAAGCATGATGTCTAAATTTAAACTTAACAATTTTTTTTTAAATTAAAACATTAAATATTTTTTGAATTGCTCCTAACTTTTTAAAAATTATTCGGTTTAGTGAAATTATTATGGAGGTCTCTCGGATACGTCTTTGATTGATTTTGACAGCTATATACACGCCATACTATGACTGTCATAAAGATAAGAAAGCTTTTTAGTTTTGGAAGTTGACTGTCAAAAGCACATTTTCTGTGTTTTATTTTTATTTCCCGAATTCAAAAATCTTAAAATTTCCCTGGGAGTAAAATTTTTCTCTTTTGTCGCAGAGGGTAAGGTATCGCACAAAACATCACTGGAGAAACACATATACACCTGCATATTGAGTAAATGATGCATTTTATCAATGCGGATTGTTTGTCGATGAACTAATTCCGTATATTTGGATTACGCAAAAGGGGGCGGGAAAACAGAGAAATTTTAAAAAAATCTGTGTACCAGAGGGCATTATTCCTTGTAATAATAATATTACTAATAATAATAACGTTTTTATTCTCTATGTATTTCAGGAATAGAGCTTCCCTGTTAAAACACTAACACATCTGCAGGAAAAATATCTGCCCTAACCAATGCTATAACTAATAATAATAATAAAACAGTAACGCAATCTTTCATCAGTTGTTTTAATTCCCGACTACCCTGGGCAAATTAATATCGCCACACTGCGGCACGTAACCGAAGTAACTGAATTTCTACTGAAATTCGATGGAAATTTATATGCGCTCGTGTCGGGTTTATATTGCCGGAAAACATCGGGTTGCATCCTTAATGAACTGAGATGCGGTTTTGTATGAAGAGAAAATTTGCCATTTTCGTTTCGGCTCAAAAAAATTCAGTTTTTCCGTACCCGAGTGAGAAACCATTTGAAATAGGTACTCGAGTTTTTGAGTTTTTATAATTTTGAACCGAATTTAAATAATTGTATTCTTTAATTCTTTATCATTTTAAAAATATTTACTTTTTTCTTGAATTAGTTGATTCTTTCATTGCGTATCTCCCTTAATAAAGGTTAATTTTTCATGACATTAAAGTTAGCACAGACATTTTTGATTTTTAGATACAGCGTTATTTTTAAAATAGTTGCATTTTTAGACATCCTTTCTAGTTGGATTAGCGTAATTTATATATAAAAATTTGTGAGTTTCAAAACAAAATTAATTATTGAAAATAGTTTTCATTTTTTTTGGATAAGTTTACGCCTAACCGAACCACAAAGGTTGTTTAAAAAATTAAAAATTTCCTAAATCTTCCGGTATCTCAAAATTCAAAAGGGGGGGGGGATATTTTTATTGGTGCCACCATTTCATAAAAAACTAACTTTAGGTCAAGCAAGCCGGAAAATGCTAGCCGTACGCCATCAAAAATGAAACATACAGTACAGAAACATCCGAACTGGTCCGCGACCGTGGCTAACAAAGCTGACATCTTAAAGTGGCACTTTACGCACGCTTTATTGGTAGTAGCTTTATAAGGCGTTAAATGTTTGACTCGAGTCGTTTTTTTAATAATAGTATAAATAAGTATATGCTCAACAGCAACAGAATAACAAAAACCACCCAAAATTAACTAAATACTTGCTTATTTCGGCACAATTAAAATGCATAAAGCCAACACCAACATCACGGTTCAACATTTAAAACCTTCAGTAATTTGGAGTAGGGAGTACAGATAAATTCGACTTAGACATTTTACCACATATCTAAATTTGTAATAAGTAAAATTTAAAATGAAAAGAAACAAAATTTATTGTTTCGACATATGGAATATTGGAAATCATTTGGGTCAAATGCGCGTGTTCCGAAGACCGAACAAACCGGAACGAACGCGGTAAATAGCGGAAAAATATTATTCGAGATACGATGACACACCAGATAAAATCCGACGATATACCGTTATAAAATCCAGACCCGAGCAAACTGGCGCTTGAATTTTCTACGGCAAATGGAAAAAGGTACATAAAATCTGGGTTATTACAACGATAAACTCGCTTTATTGGCAAAAATGCGGTTGGCATCATTGTAATTTTTCTAACACCCGCAAAAACTGTTTTATCCTACGCGAGCTCACGTCGCCACGAAAACAATACGTTCTGGGCAAAAAAAAAATAAGAGGACGTGTCAGATCAAAAGCGTTCATAAACGTGGAGAATTTGGGGTTTAAGATGTGAAGTACATGCGCCTAGGCTTGGTGGTAAAAAAATGATAAATAGATGAAATTGTAATTACAATTTCTTCATGTCGTTGAAAATTCACTCACTAAGAAAATATAATTAAAAATGTCAATATTAGTATAATATATATTAGATGGATGAATTTCTGCAGTCACTGATTTATTAAGGGCTCATTCTGCTCATACCAAATCAAATTCGGTATGAAAATAGCATTTGGCATGTGTATCGGTAAAATGAATAGATTGAGGATCGGCTCTGCGGAAACAACTAATACGTATGTCGGATACATTTCTCCAGCAAGATTTTGTGCGATATCTTAAGCTCTTCCTGGCATGACGTATTGACCGTTTCCATGGTTACCTATATTTTCTACTGGTTCCATAGGCTACTACCGTCATTCAACATTTACGTTAAAATAGTGAATTGTGACATAATGTATATTGTATTATTGCTCGCACTAAGTGGCGTGTGTAATACAACGAAAGAAGGGAACAACAACGTTTTGTATGCAAGAAGCTGTGACGTAACTTCCAAAACCTTGAGAAATCTTTCCGCAACCTTAGGATAAATCCCTCCAAATACACGAGATTTTCAGTAGTAAATCGGTCTTTTAATTCAACTAACTAACCAACCAACCGTCAAGTGGTGTTGTTGACTTTGTTGCATAATATATGAATCTGAGCAATTTGTGTGGTACGTACCTAAATATTCGAATTAGTAAAATCCTTCGCCTTTTTGCGTAGTTAGTTCATCGACAAACATCCGCATTGATAAAATGCATCATTTACTAAATATGCAGGTGTATATATGTTTCTTCAGTGATATTTTGTGCGATATCTTACCCTCTGCGAAAAAAAAGAAAAATTTTACTCCCAGGGAAATTTTAAGTTTTTTATCCTCTAAAAATTTCTGGGGAAATCAAAAACCCGTATTTTTGAATTCGGGAAATAAAAATAAAACAGAGAGAAAATGTGCTTTTGACAGTCAACTACAAAAAAAAAAAGTGTAGAGCTTTTAAACTGTCTCCGTTATGCTACCAAGATACCTCAAACTTTCTATCAACTCTAATAAAATGAATACAAGACAGGTTAGCGCCAAACAAAAAGATCTGGTAATTTCGTATATATCAGAAAAGCCTCAAATATTAGTGGCCCAACCCACAAGTTGTTGAACCAAATGATTTATTAGTCTAACTCGCTGAATACATTTTGTTTTAGAAACTGAAGCAGATCAGTTTGAATTAGCATATATATATATATATATATATATATATATATATATATATATATATATATATATATATATATATATATATATATATATATATATATATATATATATATATATATATATATATATATATATATATATATATATATATATATATATATATATATATATATATATATATATATATATATATATATATATTCTCACGTATTGATTCACGGATGGAAAAATATGATGACACTATATTCCGGGATATCATCCGTTCGCTCGTTGAACTCCGACTGGAATCCTGCATCCGACTGGAATCCTGCAAATCCTGCATCCGACTGGAATCCTGCAGACGTTTCGCCAAAATCTCACTTGGCATCTTCAATGCTCGCGCTCCGAAAACACTTCGAAGTGTTTTCGGAGCGCGAGCATTGAAGATGCCAAGTGAGATTTTGGCGAAACGTCTGCAGGATTCCAGTCGGATGCAGGATTTGCAGGATTCCAGTCGGATGCAGGATTCCAGTCGGATGCAGGATTCCAGTCGGAGTTCAACGAGCGAACGGATGATATCCCGGAATATAGTGTCATCATATATATATATATATATATATATATATATATATATATATATATATATATATATATATATATATATATAGCTTCCATCTTTCTCTGAGGTATTAATTCAGTGGTAAATATAGTGAATAAGTTGAAAAAACCAAAATACACAAATGTGTAAGTTATAATCATGCCCTTTCCCCATTTCTATCATTCGTCAACAACCGAATAAATTTCTCCCTGGGAATTAAACAAATTTTCAAGAAATTTTCAAGAGTTTCAATTTTTTTTTGTCCACATTTCCATTCCCTAAAATTGACTGGCTGAATAAAAGAAATTAATCTCTGAATGAGTTATTTGTTTAACGGTTCACAGTTTTCTTTTTCTTACCTTTGGACCGCCAGGCATTGTGAGCGATGCTATGAGATATGCTGCAAAAAGAAAACGTTAGGAATTCTAACTTAGTCATCGATAATTGTATTTTTTTCAATAACCAAGGCAAGATCGTTGCTAATAAAATTATAGCGACTTAATCAATTTACTTCGTTAAAAACGACTAAATCAAATAACATATTTGAAAAGCGTTGTGCATTTCTGCCGTATTTTGGTGGCACAACATTATCAATCTCCCCTCCTGAATGCTGCACCTAGAAGCGACGTGTTTCGAATTTTCGAACGAGTTCGCAAACACGCCGGTAACTTTACTAACATAAATATCCATTTTCCAGGCAAGCCATCATCGGCAACAACAACGCGCTACATTATGTCCCCGTCGCGTCTCTTCTTCCGGGGTTATTATTGATGAATGGCCATTATGTCTATGCTCTACTCCAGCGAGACTCCAAGTTGGAACCTGCTTTGTTATAACGAGAGCTCAACCGATTGCGCACCTTGCGTCTGGACCAATTTGTCCGCTTTGCCGGCCAGCATTTCAGGTAATTAATCATGGGTAATTATAATTTTCTGCGACGGCGAACTCGACGATTATAAATGCGAAATTATTACCTCCATTGTGGGTATCGGGATTATTAATTTTGGAGGTTTAAGGTCGACGAACCTATACGCGTTATTCGGATTTAATGGGCTTTTTTTAACTTAGAGTATAGCGGTACATCGTCGTAATTTATATTTAATGCCGGTAAAAAGGGCGTTTTTGTTGTGTTGCAGGAGACTGGGAGTTGGTTGTCAAGGGTCTCGATTTTTTTTGCTTGATTAACTTGCCAGCCTTATTATTTCATATAACACATTTGTATCTACAACATTAAAAGCTAACTACTTTGCGGTCTGATCTGTGGTCCTATTTTTGAGTAACAACTTAGGCATAAGCATGCAATATTATATTTGGTCTTCTATCCAGAATGAAATATAGACATCTACCTAACTAACTAAATGAAAATTGTACATATTCTTATTTTTTTATTTTATTATATTGTGTCAACACAAGCAACAACAAATTGACAAAAAGCACAACCGAATGAATCTGGTGGCAATTCACAACTTTGTATCACAACCAAAGATATTAAAGGCAAAGGAAACGTACAATTCATTCATAAAATGAATCGAACCTGGCAGCCAATGTCAACCAACATTTATGAATAGTTTCAATCCTACGCTTGTGGCGATAGGACGGATTTTCCATTATTTAGTTCAATCAATCCCGATCTGCGCTTGTATGCTTTAATGTATGCTATGCGATTTCATCATTGGTGTAGCTTACCTATGAAGACTGATCTTATCTGAACTTATCCCCACTAAACAGCGCTAAACCATTTTTTCTACTCCCTTCTCTAAAATGTCCAATTGTACAGCGATCTAGCGTGCAGAAGGTCTAATTTTACCACGTCAGTTACATTTCCCACGGGTCCGAGCCACTTCGGAATATTACCGCACGGGTTTGGGAGCAATCGAATGTTTTCGGAGATACTACCGCACGGCTTGAATTTTGCCGTTTGTCAATTCTGACGGTCATGTCAGTGAATGTATTCGTGTTGTTTTGCAAAAAACTAATGGTAGTGGAAAAAATCTAGTATGCAACGCGTTTGGTAACCTTTTCCGTTTACTACACTTGCTGCATAATATACTATTATATAACTATGTAAGCAATATTTAAAAAAAAAAAACACTTCTACAATGGTAAAAAGCGAGAAATTACCAACAGCAAATATCCAAATATTACGTCCAACTTCGTAGGTTCGAAAATCCCAACGCAAGTTATATGTCCCAAACTGCAGACGAAGCCCAAAGCTAAGCGAAGATAACGCATCGCTGACACCGCATTAAAAGCCCTATTTATTCGATTGTAATATTGTAAAATACGCTCTTAATTATACCAATCTTTGTAACGGCCAGCTCGAAGTTTATTTCGCTTTCTGTGTAATAAATGTTTTTAAAAACGCTCTCCCGAATTTTGAACATTTAAGTCGCATCATCTTCTTTGCTAGGAAAAAAATTTTATACGTTCAAGTAAGATATGCAAATGGTAATCATGTACGTTTATGATATAATCGGTGTGTCCTCAAATTCTATCATGGCCTAGTGGCTATGATCAGACGTGGGATTGTGAAGAAGAACTCAATGGACAATACTCGTAAGTATACATCCTAGAGCCATAACTTCAAGAGAAGGCAAAAGCAGAGCTAGAGGTCCAAAAGACAAGTCGGCTATGCCAGTGAACCCGCGAGTCAAAGTGACCGAGGGTCAGTGTTTGGTGTCGGGAATTTAAAAACTGTGCAGAGTTGATAGACAGACAAGCCAGCTTTAAAAGACAGTCAATCAAGTCAGATCATGTCACTTTTAGCCAAAACTTCAAAGTTGAATAGCAAATATGCATAAACGTATTACAAAACACACATCTCTGTTTTTATAAAAAATAGGTGGCCGAACATACTCCATTCACAAGAACACCAGCGCTCACGTAACAAGTCGGCTTATTCATAGCCTATAAATGATGATGCTTTCTCATATAATTACAGCGTAACTACTTACCCCTGTCACAACCAGCTCGTCTTCCTTAACCTAAGTATAAAGAATCGTTCTTCGACCCAATATACCCATTTTTTTTAATTTACATTCTGCAATCCAACTCTTGTCCGATGTAGCGTTGTTTTGAGACTAACGTCAGACTAACCGGGCAATAAAATACGTGTCGGTAAAGAAATGCCCCCAAATAACGCGCGAGTTCAATTTACTAAATTGGCAAAAAAATTTAACGACGAAATATGTAGATTGTGATCGACGGGATGTTAGAATATACGTCCCCATCTGTGATGAATAACCGAGTGACAGAAAACAGAAGAATTTTGTACGCTTTTACGTTATTGGTAAGCCTTGGAAAATATTTCCTTCACGACTATAAAAAAAAACGACCATGTGTTATATGCGCGATCCATGATTAAAGAAAATTGACGTCGTTGCATACGCGTTTCAGATGCCAGTCTGTGTGTTTCCCAGTTGCTCGGTCTTTTAGTGCTTGTCACATTGAAAGGCTCTGTAGTAACCCATACGATGATATACATTGTATTAATATAATTTAAATTATATGGTAAACATTTTTGTTGACCTATTTTGATCTATTTTGACCTACCAAAGATGTACACTTAGTTTTACTAATTTTAGATGCCATACCCGCATCGGAAGACCCTCGAATAGAAAACCTAAGGCGATATTCCTACGGCGTAGCCCTACCATCGATCTGTCTTTTGGGAATCATCGGCAACATATTCAATTTGATAGTGCTGACAAGGAAGAACATGAGAGGAACAGCCTATATCTACATGAGGGGTAAGTAAATTACTCAAAATTTGACCACATTCGCAAACTAATGAGGCAGGAGTCCCAAAATTAATGAAATTCATTGTGAACCCTGTACAACGTTCCAACGAATTAGCTCCAACAAAATCATGTAAAAACAACATTGGTAAAAGTAACAAAGTTTACGTTTGTTTTCGAAACTATTACAGACTAGACATTAATTTATTAATATTAACATTCCGTAAAGAAAGACGAGAAATTGTTGGAAAATTATATCAGACATTGGAATTTAATACCGCTTAAAAAAACCAAAAACGCTTACCAAGGGTTTAAAAATCCACTCACTTAAGAGTCAGATCCAATTAGGCAGTTTTGCGTTAGCCACTGCAGCTCGTTATAAAGCTGTATCCAGAATTGACGTCTTTTTCCATTCGTTTTTTATGCCTTTCAACGTCGGCGGCGACTAGACGATGTTTGGACAGACCTGCCCAAAAGTTGTTTGATTCGCAACACCTGTTTATAAGAAGGGCGCTTTAAAGACGCTTTTCTATCGGCTTTCGAGATTTAATTGGCCAACGTTACTCGACGCTGTATCGCTAATGCCGGTTGATTAAAACAGAGGTGATTTTATTTACAGGCTCCATACTGTAACCTTTATTTTATTTCGCTTCGCTTTGGGATCCAAACAAACTGAGTTGTAGGAATTTTTGCAGGTGTTTCATTTTAAGTGTGTTTTTTAATCATTATAAACTATTTAACAGAGTTCGTGATTATCTATATAATTATCTAATAGTTATACAGTGCGTTCCATTTTTTATGGCTTTTGGTCGTACCTGCCTTATTAATAACGCTAGCGTGTTACGGTTTTCAAGACCCAACGTTACTTTTTGATGAAATGATAGGTACAAGTGGCACAAACGGAACTATTATAGCTATCTTGGATTTTAAGATAAAGAATGGTTTTTGAAATTTTCTTGAATAGTGTTGTAACTCGGTTGTTGCAAAACTTTTCTCAATTTTTTTTCTAAAACCCATAAATTTTTATATATAAACGAAGCTTCTGTTTTCTGTAAGTCTTTTAATTAATTTATTAGGCTTGTTATTAGCTTTTAAAAAATATATAACACTATATAAAGACTACTTTTTATAAAAATTACTTAATTTTACCTGTCAAAATAAACTTATGTGTGTGCAATATTAAATGTGCATTGATAACACACGCAAATAATAATTACCATTGTTTGACTGCAGTATATTTGGAAAACGGACACCTTTTTGCCCTGGCATTATCATAAAAAAATATATTTATATGAAATACCTTTTTTATCTTACTGAATTTTTAAAAGCTCATACCAAGCCTAATAAAAATATTAAAAAACATACAGGGCGTTCCGTTAAATATTAACACAAGTTTAGTTTTTATATCAAAATTTGTCTCAAGTCAGTTTACTACGTCACTGTCTACGCAAAAAAACCCTATCCAGATCAGTTTCCAGCGTAACGATAAACATGCTATTAAATTACTTTGTATCTAGACTAATTTCAAATAAATGTAAATATTATACAGAGTGAGTTTTTTTATGTTTAGGTCAGGGATTTCGGAAACTATAGCATAGACGAAAAAGTTTGAAGAATTGCAGTTTTATAAACTCTACTCAAAACCATTTTTAATTTTTCAAGATTTGACACCTGTCCCAGCTGCGTGAATATTAATTTTGGAAAAAAATGATAAATACGAAACTTCCGGGAAATTTTATTCCCATAACAATAATACAGTGTCATAAAAATATAGTTTATTTTTTAATGGAAACCTTAATCTATTTCAACTTTATTAAATAAAACAAAATTGTTACGATTCTAACGCTAATTTGCGTTTTAGCTTAACATTGTTCATCTAGTTGTCTGTGAAAAAAAGATTTTCAGCTGTCAAATCTTGGAAAACTTACAATGCTTTTGAGTTGAGCCCACGAAACTACAATTATTTGTTGCTATAGTTTCTGAGATCCCTATACTAGCAGCAAACCTAATTATCAATTTTATTTCTTACAAATATTTAAAGAAAATTTTATTTAATTATCAAATAGTAACATGTAAATGATTGCAGTAAGACTCCATTATCCCATTTATTTAAAAGAGCAAAAGAAAGACGTCATCTTGTGTTCCATTATAAAATTTACCTCACTTTTCTCCGTTGGCACCCAGTTCACTGAGTACTTACTTTCCGTCATATTTATTTACTGTTAGCAGCGCCACCATCGGAAAATAAATTCGCGAGTAACCCTACAGAAAGTTCTCGCCGATAAACAACAGACGGAGACCATAATAAAACTGTTCAGTGTTAAAAGATAAAAATCCGCCGGTCCATCAAATTAACAAATCCCATTCGCGAGATTCAATTCCGGTTGTCGGCTGGGCAAACAAGATTAAACTTTTCCGCTAAAAGTAAACCAAACGAACGAAAACGCGTCCGCCGAGATTTAGACGTTACTGCGGATCGCGCGCGACATCTTTAATTAATTTGTAAATACCGAACGTCAGAGTTGCGAACGTACAGAAATCGTAGAATCCATTCTGTTCGGTTTTAAATACATTGTTTTGTTTTTTACGATTCGCCTTCAATTGTTTGCCAGGTTGAACGAGATAGGAGAGCGTCTTCATAAATCGATGGTCAAGTTATATTAAAGATCTTTTTCTTTTCGAATTGCGCAGTTTCCTAAACCAGTATTTTGGTATAGTTGACATCAACAGACTATGTAGAATACCGTAATCAGACATTTACAGCCCTGAAAATGCCAACAGAAAACGCAATTATAATAATAGCGAATAAAATAGATAAAAACCGAAATGTGGATTTATAAACGACTCTTACGAATATCATAGACAGAGCATCGAACCAACCTATCCGTGTTACAAGAAATTGATCCACGTACAAGGTTCGTACAATACCTGGGGCATATAGCTACAAAATCAGAGTGGATTGTACCATCTTGTCAAAATTTCAGTATCGTGTAGTACCGCGGGTACCATGGGAATGACAGGTGCTAAAAATGTTTGTTACAGCAAAGTTATCAACCGATGTTTTTCTTTTTTGGTAAAGGGTTATTCATAGCCTTGCCATCGATAGTCATTTTTTAATTTATCAGATGTCTATCGATAAAGTGTTCCAAATTTGCTCTGTGGCTATATAAATTTTTACGTAGTAATTTGCACGTGTAATGGCCATCATTTTATTGTCAGTGATCAATATTAGCTATGGAAGACAAAATTTTTGTTCTTTATATATTATTATATATTCTAGTTAATAAAATAGATAGAGAAGCTGCTAAATTACAATAAAAATGACGTTACGTAGCCTCACCACGATTTCAAAAATTTGGAATAATTGCTTCACGAAAATCGCTCGGATATCAATTAGAGTTAGTCGGGATTGCTTATGACTAATAATGGATATCTAAATAAATTGAGTATTTTTTGAGACGCTAATAGAATAATACATGAAAATTGTTTAGGGGGTGGGGGGTTGCAAAATGTTAACTGTTAAAAATGGTTAAAAAATGAACACATCATTTACACTAGTCCTCAAATTTTATTAATTTCGGAAAATGCCTCGTTCAGAAGATACGACTTTGTAAAAGAGACCTGAGCATTTTTTTAAAACGGTTTAAAAGTACTAAAGCAGGTGCCTCTTATTTTGCAACCAAACTATCTCAATGGGGATATTTTAAATTTTTAGGCAAAAATAACATTTTTTAAACAATTTGCTACAATGAAAGTAAAAACAAAAAATGTAAAAGCTGGTTTTGGAGGTATTTGAGGTTTAAGTAAGTAATTAGTAACCGAATTACTAAATTATCTTAAGTAATTTTCATGCGTGATTTTTTATAATAAAAATATTTCAAACTACAATTTAATAAAAATAAAAAACCCTTTTTAAGGGACTTTTTAAATTTCGGGTATTTTCGGACACGTATTTACTTTTAAGTAAGTTCAAAATTTTACAGCATTTCCTGATATGCTCCTTCATGTTGTTAGTTAACATTAACCCCACAGCTAACACTACCTTCATCCTGCATCTCTTGTAAGTATAAAAATTTTAACTTCATTTGCTATTTCCATCTTAATATATTACGTATCACGTCCAAAAAATGTGGAATTTTATTTTATACATTTGATAAGTTTGAAGTTTGAAGAACTTTAGTGTCACTCAGTATATCAAGAAATTGGTCTCTGCACTTTGCGCTTTGATTTTTTTTGTCTAAATTATAACTCACCCCTGATGCTGAAGCTTTTCGTTTCAGACTTCAAAAACATCTATAAAAAACATCACCGCGTACCTTAAGCATTAACAACTTTTATATCTAAGGTCCCTGTGGGTAATAAGGCCTGCGCAAGTGATAAGGCCCATGCATCCATTTAACAATAAAAAAGAATTTATAAGTATTTTGGCGCCATCTATGTGTTGGTCTGTTACCTAAATTAAATACGCAAACCGACATACACGATTAAGTTCGGTAGTTTTCAACGGATATCTTTCAGTTTTGCCAACTCCGGTTGAAATTATAAAAATTTATGGTTGAACGGTCACGTTTTTTCGAAGCAAAGGATCAGATCAAGAATTCTAAGAAAGGTAAGTTTTATTTTACACTTAATACAGTTACTGAGCCATTATTCAATAGTTAATTTCATTTTTAACATTTATTTAATATATCCTAAACATGATTTCGTGGTAATGTGGGTAATAAAGCCCAGACATATCAGTTAGGCTTTATTACCCACCACTTATACATTTTTTAATTTTTCCTTACAGAAATATGGACAAGAAATGTCGCGGATTGAGAGTCAACTGGACGCAGGACATGATGGACGAAGCACTGTTGCTTCTACGTTATATGGAAACAAGAGGTGGCATACCACGTCGTACCCTTAGAAACCATTTGGAAACCGGAGCTGTTAATAGAATTCTGGGGGCAAGGCTTGAATGAAGCACAAGAAATTGATTTAGTTTGGAAAATCATTAAATTTTTTGAGATAGAATTTCCGTTGAAATCAAAGGCAGTACGATGTATTCAAGTATGCTGAAAAACAAAGCATTTCTAGCCGTTTCAACAATTAGAAAAAAATTGCCGGACGTGACTGGTTTAAAGCATTAATGAAGCGACATGCTTGTCCCAACGAAAGGTCCAGTCGATGAATTCTGTTATGGCGGCAAAGCTTAATCCCTTCATTGTTAACGTCTGCTTTGAAAAACTTGATAATGTTCTTGAAAAATATGGCCTCAACCGGCAAATATATACAACGTGGATGAACAGCCTGCCCATCTGATTGCTCCTGAAACCAACTTTTAGTGACGAATTACCTCCGGGATGTCAAGTGAAGATGTCTCCAAAGGCAGCATTGCCTTATTATTGAATGGCTCAGTCATTTTTCCAAGTTTACTTAGCAGCCACTTCTCCTAACATTTGACGGTGCTGCGTCACATCTAGACATTTCAATTGTGAATGCGGCGGACCAACTAGGAATTCACTTTTTATGCCTTCCTTCAAATTCCACACATAAACTCCAACCCCTCGACAAAGGCGTGTTTCCGTATTTCTTAAATTTTTGGGATGAGGAGTTGTTGCGTTGATGGGACAAATTCCCAGATAGGAAAATAAAAAAAAAAGATTTTCTGAAGTTTTTACCCTAGTTTGGGTGAAATGTATGGCCATAGATAATACATGGATTCAGAGCCACATGTATTTACCCATTTGAATAAAAGTGTAATTGTTGACCACGCATATGGGTCAAGTCTTCCCACACAGCAAGATGGAATTCAATATGTACCCGAGATTAATATTCCAAATGCTTCTAACTCAGATAAAAAATGTGCCTATTGTTGTTGTGAAGAGTCATATAACCACTGGGGTTACTCCCTCGAAAGAAAACAGTTTTTCGGAAATTCTTGTCACTCCTGATACGAAACCGGTCGCTGAGAAATAAATCAAGAGAAAGAAATCATTGAATTACAGAGCCCAAGAGGTCACAAGAAATATTTTTTGTTCGATTTCAAATGTGAAACTCAAAAATCATTCAAATCAGATCATTCGAATCAGATCCTGGTCCCAGTTTTTCCTCCAATCAACGAAAGCAAGTTGAAATGAAAACCAAGCCCATCCCAGAAGAACCTGATGCAGACCGTAATTTAGAAAGTTCAGAAGATTCTGGTGTGAACGACGATTTACCTCTTTCCACCCTAAGCTGTCGTTCAACAGGAAATTTAAGGTCCAAAGCTTCCAGGCAAGTTAAAAAAGATTCTTTTTTATCAGTGAATTTACCTAGAGCATCTTGGCAAATACCGTTCGTGATGAGGACTGATCTTGCGTTATCTGCGGTGAAAACAGAGTAGCAGATATAAACCAATGTAGAAACTGAATGGGGCTTACTGAAGATGAATAAATAAATAAACAGAAAATAAAGGGGGCCTTTCTCTTTAATTGGAAATAAGGGATTTACGTTTAAGTTTTTTTAAAGAAAATCTGTTCAATATTTTGTTACATTTTTTTCTATGGGTTCTTACAAGAGAACTGTTTTAAATAAAAATACCAGTTTGGTGCTTTAATTTAAATAAATACTCTCTGCAACTTTTTTTGTTTATGATGGGCCTCAATACCACCAGGGACCTTATATCCTCGGTTTAAAACATGGGTCGATATTGTCCGATATCTAGCCTCCATTGTCTTCGGTCCCCCCAATTGGCGAACGACTAAGTTTCTCGAGCTCATCACTTTGCAACCTCCCTCGTGCCATGTTCTTTTTTTTTCGGTGGTTCCGTAGCCTATTCATTGTTTGTTTAGGTAAACTGTCGTCGTTCATACGCTGTACATGGCCGTACCAGATCAGTTGTTTTCTTTCGATGTCAGTTATGATTGTGTCTTGAAGTGCCATTTGTTCCCAAATGATTTCATTTCTAGCTCTTTCGGTTGATTCGGTTATTCTTTTATGTTTTTCTGTCATTCTCCGAGTTTCTGAACCATATATTATGTTCCTTTTAATTGGAGGGTTATATATATATATATATATTGTATTCCCTCCGTTTCGATATATTTTTACTCCATAGGATTCCGTTCAGACAGTGGTTTTCGTGCCTGTATCACTCTTATTCTTATTTCTTTGTCTTCTGCGGGCCCAATTTATGAGAAATTGTATCTCCATAGTGGATTACAACATGTGACGTCTAATTCAGAGATACCGTCTATAGCTTGAGGTTTGAACAGTATCTGCCATATCAGTTACAGGTAATAATAATAATATGCACCAAGTTGAATAAATGCTATTTTAGTCACAAATTTTATTCGATTGATTGCCAACGTGTTGTATACTATGCTCTTTCTAGGACCATTAGTTTTTGCCTACATTTTTGCAAAACAACACGAATATATTCTCTTGAGTTGTGTAATCTGACTCTCCAACTGTGAAAATCGGATAGGGGCGAAATTGTAAATTATGAGACAGACCCTTTATACCCACCGTTACTCCCGAGTGGGTCCAGTGTACACCTTCTTGGTACAGCTCTGACCCCACTTGCTTACAAGTTATGGTTTGACCCTAACTCCTGTCGATAAGTAAATTAGCCTTCACCAGGGTGTGAAATTAGATACGAAAAAATGGAAAGGTTTGCCGAATAGCGGAAATTAAAACGAATATATGCGGGCACGTATATGTAAAAAGAAAATATTGCTTATTAGCGGCGTAAAAATTTTTAAATCTCTATTTGAACGCATTCACTAAGTGGCATGTGACATGACCATTACAAAAGTAACACCCGTGGCTTGAGTAACGAACCTTGCGCCTTAAAGTGACACGCACGCTTAGCAGTGTTGGATGTTTCTGAGCAGGCAACAGAAATAATATATTATCATTATTTTGCTGAGATCTTATTAATTTTTATTTATAAAAAAAAGAATTGTTCATTACTTATTTAATGCAATTTAATACCTTTAAACTTCGAAATGAAATAAACTTTGAATGTGTAACATTAAATAGTTCTTCGTCATGTTATTAATCTTCCAAGTTAATGTTGGCAAAAAGCCCCTCCAAGCCATCGGACCACTTCTTCATCGCGAGACACTTTCCGACATTATGTTCCTGCTCGATGCTGAGCACTCCGTTGACCTGGTCGATTTTCCCGTTGACCCAACCGTCGAGTATGTACGAGATGATCAGGTTCTCTACGTGAGCCTCGTCGATGCCCAATTTCTGGCTGATAAACTTAATCTTGATGTTTTTGTAGGGGGCTATCAGACGCAGGACTGCGCTTCCGCGCACCCGCTTGAGGAGCTCCTCCAAGTGTTCCCCGACGAAAGGGTCCGCCATTAGCGATTCCTTCGGGGCAAACAAATGCATTGACGCGAAAATCGCATTTGAATGAATTTAAATTTAGATTGTCAAATTTTCAACTTAATTTATAGGAGCCGGGTTCGATAATAATGTAAATTGGTATCTGTAAGAATAACACACAGGTTTCGCGCAACTAAAATAACTAAAAAAATTGCACCAGCACAATACAAGAGTGAGGCAAATATTACAATAGAAAATGACGGCTAGTAATGAGGATTGCTTATTCCCTGCTTATTTATTTAAATGGGGGAATGGATGGTTGTTGTCGTTTATATAATTTATTTACCGATTTTTAATGAAATCATTTACGTATTATAATTTGCCGGTCAAACAACATTTTCTTTAAATATTCGTAAAAAACAAAATTTATAATGTAACTTCATACAATAAACCTTCGAAAAAACAATTAACATTAACATATTTAAATCTTTCACAGCAATTTCCAGGGTCTTTTAGATTTTGTCCATATTTGAAAAACCCTGTATATAATAGAAAAAAATCCTCAAATAAAAGTTATAGCCCCGGATAATCGACGCTGATCGGTTGAAGACTTTTTGAGAAAATCAAGACCTAATAAGACCTATCGTTACCGAGATATAAAATTTGTATACGAGCGTAGATATTTTCGAGAAGTTTGATTTCATCGATTTTCGAAAGCAAGTATATTTTTGCCAAACAACTCTCACTAGAGTAAGCAAAATATTAAAAAACAACGTTAGTTTGGTTATAAACATGTGTTCGGAAATGCCTAATTCAGAAGATACGACTCTGTAAAAGTTCCCCATAATATAATTTTTTTTATTAGTTCTTCAACGAAATGAAATTTAGACCACAAATACCCTTCATTGGATCTGGAAAATTACTGCTAACAAATTTAAATATCTTGTACAGACAAACTTTTTTTATAGGGATATTTTTATTAGATATGATAATGATATTCGCAATAAAAAAATACACTTGGTTAAAGTCCAGTCATTTTAATATTGTATTTTAAACCCGAAACTTAAGATTGTGGAGTGTGCAATTTTTATGGAAAACATTTAACGTCATTCTTATAAGAATATTTGAATAATTCCCACTCAATCCAAACAAAGCAATACCTGCGTCAGTACCGTGTAACCTACCCTGTTTCTCTCAAATATGTCCACAAACTCGTCGTTGTTGTTGTTCTGAAAGGCGAAAATAAGCTGCGTTAGCGCTCTTACGTCCGTGTCATTGGCGTACGGCTTCGCTTCCTGCGAGTCGAAAGGGTTAATGTCGCTGTCCATCAGCATGCTGTTCAGGATCAAGTATTTTAGACAATTGGTGCGTCGCGGGTTGCCTGCCTCGTCGTAGTTCTTAAAGGCTTCGAAAAAATCTGCGTAGGCCTTAGCGTATTCGCCGCACCTCAGGTGCATTTTACCACCTAGAGAAAACGATCACTTACGACGTTCCGTTCGTGTTCAACTTTCCTGCTTTCAGAGAATCGCGAAGAATTTAACAAAGCTGTGCCAAATTGTCGAATAGAAAAAAAGGGTTGTGATAATTTATAACTCGGTTGGCCAAACCATATAGCTACTAGACTAGCCCTGCCTATGCCAATAGTACAGGAACTCGTGCAGCACCAATGTAACAAAATTTTCAATTCAATATACGCATGCGCGAGATTTAAAATTTCGGAGACATCTAAGTGTAAAAAGTTCATCAAGTACCTCCTATGGACAGAACGCTCATTTCTTCATCTCAAGTATAGTAATTACACAAAGTTTCGCCTTCCAAATATATAATTATGAAAAGTGTCTATGGACAATTTGGTTCAAAAACTATAGGTATTGCAAAATCTAACCAAGAAAATTAAGAACTAGTATAAAACAAGGCAATAAACAATTAGCGCTAAATGTAAGAGAATTGCACAGAAATTGGTCTTAGAGAATTAATAAATTAATATAATTAGTATATATTGGATTTAATTCAGCACTTCAAACAAATATCCTCATTTCTTTTGATTCTAGTATTGGGATTACGGACTTTTCTTATACACCCAGAAGGTATTATATATTAACCAAAACATTTTTGAAAATTTTATCCATTTAACACTAACGAACTGTAAACAGGAGATAATCACAAACACAAACTAACCAAAAATGAAAACAATGGCACAGACTGTGGCGTAACGCATGCGCAAAAGATTCACACCTTCTCAACGAAAATATCTACGCATCATTTTTTACCGTAGTTATCTTTTGTGGGCCAAACTAAAGAAAAATCGACACAAGCGCTCAAAATGGAAATTCACGAAACAAATCTTTGCAAAGCTGTTCTGTTTCTTTTTAGAAAAACAGCGCACAATTTGACTAGACTTTCAGAACATTAATTTGCCAAGGAAAATCACTTGTAACAGCAGCTGTATGAAATCTGGCATTTTGCTAGGGGTTAAGAATGTGAGCGCAATATTACAATAACAACCTGTAGAGAATTCTAAAGGAAAAAGAAACAATTGCTGTAGCTCACAAGACGTGACATATGCTCTAAAATGTAAGTTCTAATGACGCATATGTTACCGCATTCCCTAATAATGCTCATTATCAACGGATGAGGTACAGCGGATTTGATCCTGAGCGATTTTTGGTACAATTCCTTTAACTTCTTGTCATTCTTTTGCTCGGTGTACATTTGAATCTCCAAAGCGTAGATCTCCAACATTTGAGTACCTGAAACAACGTCTCGCTGCTAGGTGCGTATACATATATTTTTATAATTGTAATTAAGAATGAATGAAGAAAAAATATCCATAAAAATTATATTTATCACTAAAAATTTTCTATTCGTCCGTAATATTCAATAGTAACTTTTAACAAGTTTTAAATAAAAAGAAATTCTTCTTACACACTCTAGATCCTAGTTAATGTTTGTTATTTGTAGACTAAAAATGGTGATATTTATCAAAAACCAAAAAGTTTTAAAAAAGGAATACTTTGCAAGAATTAATTATTGGATATTTATTGAAAAAAAGTTGTTAAGGAAGTTAATTATATAATTAAGTTCATAAAATTACGTACCTTTGTGTGTGTCTGCATCAATCTCTTCGTCGTACTGAAAACTATTTTTCAACTCCTTAATAATGCCAGCCGTTTTGAAATATTCCTTCCCTTCCAAAAGCAGCTTTCCCAGCTTCAGGTTGGTTTTAAACCAAAGTCGGTCGTTCTTCGAATTCTTTAGCGCATCCAAAGTAGTCTCGTAAAATTGCTGTAGAACAGCGCCATCTTTCAACGACGAAGTGTAATCCAAAATCGAGTTTATTGATTTTTCGCCGTAATTTTTCGTTACCGCGCTGTTAATGTATCCAAACAGCTGACGGTATTTTTTCAAAGTCTCTTCGTAGTTTCCTAACTTGAAGTTAATTTTGACTAACTGTTTCAAAGCCTTAAAACCCCATTCGCCTTTACAATCTCCTTCGAGTTCCAAAACCTTGTGAAAAGCCGACACGCAGTTTCCGATGTCATCCTCTTTGACAGTTTTGGCTAAATAATATTGGTTCTCTAATTCGACGTCTGCTTCCGAAGTGCTGTCTTCGCTGTATTCCAGCAAGAATTCACCATATTCGTCCATGGTATCGATGCTTCAAAGTGGAATTCAAATCTGCTAATAACAAACACTCGTACCACCTTACTTTATTGCCATAAACATCGTCACCCGAACCGAGTTAAAGAATACTAATATTAGTGGTCTGTGGACTGAGGTTTTGCGGCGTAGGGGAGTCGTTGGTCTTCTTCTTTTAAGCTTTCGGCTTCGTGTCCAGAATTACTTTATCAAAATCGTATAAAAAAAACATATTTTTTAACAGTTCATTCCTGTTGTGAGTATCGCATTTATCATTAAATTGTATGTTTTGCGTGTCATTTTTTAAGTTATCTTTGCAAACAATAGCAGCATTAGGCATTGGGCTTATGCTGAAATAATTACCGAAATTTATTCAGGTTCAACGTCCTGTTTCTGTTTATTTTTCGTTATTATTTTAAAAGGTCGGGATACGGGACTCTAAGTTTGAGTTTCAGCGGTCGACGGCAAGAAGAAATTTGCTAGCTAATTAAAGCAGTTGTTTTCTGCGATAGGTGGCAATGTTACAAAAGCAACCATATAATTATGACCAATGTGATCAGTGTATTATGTAGTTTCTAAACCTCCATGTGAAAAGTGTTTACAAATAAATTTCACAGTCTCGAAAAAAGGTTAGTTAAACAAATCGAGGTAATAAAAGTAACTACGAAAGGTACATAGAATATAAATTAAAAACAACACAAATTCAACCAATGGCGCCAACGCATTCTATCAAAAAGATGGACTTATTACTTCAATTATCTTTAATATGACGTAATTGAAACGAACACAATATGTTCACGTATATATATAGCAACTGCAATGCAATCTCGAAAGAGAGAATTCCAGGAACTCATTACACATGGAGAGGAAAAGTTACTTCCAGCGAATTGACGGGCCCAGTGGCGTGTCTGAGAGCATCTCTTCGCAAACGGGATCCATATTTGCCAAACAATTTTTTGGAAGGTAATAAGCGTTACTAAAAATGTGAAAGACATTTGAATGGTAAAATAGTAGAATTTTTAGTACAAGTGAACTAAATGTGCCTTTTTCTATGTAATAAATATGATTTTTCCGACAATAGTAAAATAATTTTGCTCAGAAAAAAATTATGAAATGATAAGAAAATTGTTTTCCTTTCAACGCTCATTACTTGCATCTCATTCCAACATATTTCACGGATATGCAACCAAGTATACGGCTGTGTATTTTCCTCAGCAGTTGTGAAGAAATTATTTTCACTCTGCTCGTTTGTGATTCAACCACTTCACTGACTGTTTTGCTAAAGAGTCTTAAGTTGGTTTTCAAGTTACGCCGCTGCTTAGTACCTTTCAGTGTTTATTCGGCTTCGAATGACTTCCGGCGTAAAAAAAGACATCGTCTGCAAACAAAGGAAGTAACCGTTTTCCTCTTTATTCCCTGTTTGCTTTTCATATCGTATAGACCGGACGATTGGATGGCGTTCAAACCGCATTTTCAGAGGCAAACAAGTTTTAACAATTGGACGAGTTATATAGATAATCCTCTTTTTAACGAACAATGCTCTAAAGCGATCACGGCTGATCATGCGGAGTGTTTTGTGCTACGTTTAGAGTCCATTGATTGATAGTCGATGTCCAACCATCAGAGTTAGGTTGTAATGCAAGCTTCGGTCTACTTGAACTAAAAAGAACGAGACAAATCGCAAAGGCAGAAATTCGTATTGTAATTCCGCTGTTTAAAATTGCCACTAGGAGCACAGTTTTTGTTTAGTAATACAAACAAATCTAAATAAGTCTGTTTTTGATTTGTTCATTAACTGTGTGTTTCAAAAAACACATCGCTAATTTATAGAGTTCATAGAATGTTAAAAAATAAGTTTTGCTTGGTTAATAAACATTTCTCGGACGATACTCTATAAAATGGATGTCTCTGATTTAATTTATACAAAATAATATATCGTAAAAGGTAGGAGATATCGGATAACTCAAATTCGAAAAACATATATTTTTAAAGCGCATAGTCTAGCCAACGAAGCTTTTATAAACTTAACCGAAACGTTTTTGATATCAAAACTTTAAATTAACTTTAATCTGGAAATACTGCGCAAAGCGATTAGGAAGTTATAATAAGTTTTGGTACACTATAACAACTTGTGCACAATCTATCCCTAAAGCTTCGCTTTAATTACTTTACCAAACATCAAATCTATTTTATTATTTATCAATCGATTTTGTTGCGATGCGTTTTTCCAAGAAACTACACCAAGTTGTCTAGTTTATACCAACGCAGAGACAAATTTTATTTAGAGGTAGGCGGATGGGTATTGTTTCACTATTTACAAATCTTTTGTGTTTCTCCTGTGTTGATTGTTGCTGAATCAAATTTGCTGACGTTTCGTCAATTGACTTCTTCAGAACTCAAACTGCATCCTACTCTGTACTCTGTACCTACTATACAGTGTTTGTGAGAGACGGGGCTAAAGGAGGGGTCATAAACATTGAATGACTAATTCCAATATCGGTGAAAGAATTTTAGTTTCTTTCTTTCTGTTCTTTCTGTTCTTCTAGCCTAGTTATTTTTTTGGGTAAGTAAAGCATATCGTATATTGACGGATCCGATTTTATTTTATGAATAAATAATAACTCAGCTGGTTATTATCTAAATAATATATATTCATCTGATTATATAAATAATAATAAACAATACACATTTATTATTTATAAATAAAAATAAATCAATATTTTAATATTCTTTATATGTTGATATGTTGTCTTATATTGACGGATCCGATTTTATTTTATGAATAAATAATAACTCAGCTGGTTATTATCTCAATAAAATATATACATCTGATTATATAAATAATAATAAACAATACACATTTATTATTTATAAATAAAAACTATATTATTATTAATAATATTATTAATATTCTTTATATATTGATATAGTTGTAACAAAAATTAAAAAAATTACGTTTTTTTTAAATACTACTGAAAATATACTGCCATTTTCTCACTATTTTTTTAAGTTATAAAAAACTAAAATATTTAAAATATATATTTCAAGATATTTCATTGCCAATAATTTCAGTAAAAATTTATCTATAAAAAAAGTAATTAAATATTATATAAATGAGCAACAGAAAAGCAACAAGCCTTCCTAATGTATTCTTTGCCCCATATGCACTAGAATGCTGTAAAATCCTGAAAGTTATTTTTTTTGGGTAAGTAAAGCATATCGTATATTGACGGATCCGATTTTATTTTATGAATAAATAATAACTCAGCTGGTTATTATCTAAATAATATATATACATCTGATTATATATATAATAACAAACAATACACATGTATTATTTATAAATAAAAATAAATCAATATTTTAATATTCTTTATATATTGATATGGTTGTAACAAAAATGAAAAATTAATTTTTTTTTAAATACTACTGAAAAAATACTGCCATTTTCTGACTGTTTTTTTAAGTTATAAAAAAACTAAAATATTTAAAACAGATATTTCATTGCCAATAATTTCAGTAAGAATTTATCTATAAAAAAAGTAATTAAATATTATATAAATGTAAAATTTGCCTTAATTCGCCTTAGTTCGATGTTCTCAGAGAAACAAATCGAGAATAGAGCGATGATTTCGTTGATAATAGCGAAACAGAGGACATTTAAAAAGTGGAGACTGGCAGACCTAGTCTGCAAACGCTTTAATTTAGAGTGTACAGCCGTAATTGCCGTAGCTCTAATCTCTCGCGGGGCGTGGTGAAGACATTTATTGCTCTTTTTACGACGTGTCAGACACACTCGAATAAATTCACTGCCAAAATACGTTTGCGCTTTTGATACGCCTTCGGGCAATGGAAAACGCCGCGTCTGATATATAGCTCTCGCCCCGTTAAACTTACGTTACGAGCATGACGTAGGTAGGTGTTTTCCTTTTTTTTATGGTTTATCCCACAGAGAAAACTAATAAAAAGAGAGTGACGGATGAAATAAGAATAATCGTCATCATTTATACTGTGCATCTAGCGCAACTCAGACGTCGCAAATGTGAACAAATTGAGTTACGACTTATGTATGTATGCATGCCGTCCTTTATCGGTACTACCTTGAACAGATGAAGGAAGATATAGACGCTGGGTATTTATTCATCAGAATAATATTGTGACTGAGAGACTAACTGAGTGTGAAAACCAGAAAAGAAATAGCCATTTTATTTATTTTATTAACAAAAACTTTCAGTTGCGGTATATGTACATTACTGCAACAATATGCAACACATGAATAAATTGAACTTGCTGACGTTTAGCCAATCATCCTGTTGGCTTCTCCCCACTCTACCCTGTACCTGCTTATATATTGCTTCAGGGGAGGGGAACTAAAGGAGGGGCATGAATATTGTCTTTTATGACTGAGATTTCTATGGATTCTCGTATTTTTCTTTGGTCAGTTTTGTTTAATAATATTTGATGATTTTATTTATCGTAGTGTTAAGGCTATTTCATGTTCTTTTAGCCTGGTTGATATTTTTCCTGTTTCTCCAATGTATTCTTTGCCGCATATGCATAGAATGCTGTAAACTCCTGATATCTCAAATGGAATTTCGAAGTACCGAAGAAGTTGAGAGATTTTTGAACAAGTGGTAAATCTAGTTTTAACGTTATATTTCTTAAGAACTTTTGATATGTAATCAGTGATTATTTGAATATAAGGAAGGACCACAGGGGTAAATGTGGTGTTGCTTTCGCTTGTTCATTTTCTTTGGAAGTGTATTTTATGATGGAATGCTTAATACGTATCTCTAATGTGGAGAGAAGTGCTTCAATTCTGGGTTCAGTAACTCGGGTTGAGATAGTAAACAAGAGAGTTGATAACCGATAATTTTTGGTTAAGGAAACATGTGACTAAAATTTTATTTAAATTTAAACGTATACAAGATGTCTAACAAAATGATGTCTTCAAAAAAGAAATTATAATAATAATTAGTACTGCTTATATATATTATTATTGAAAGCCTGACATTATTTATAGTAATAATAAGAAAAAAAAAACAGAAGCG